ATAAACCAATGCTGCTGCTGATACTAATTGAAACAACAATAAGCTCGTTCAAGGATAATGAATTGAACACGCGACCAAAATAGGCAAAAGTAGTACAGCAACAAAATTGGTATGGCTAAAATCGGCGAAAGGGGAACCCTGACTTTGGATCATTGACTGGACCACTACAAAACTAGAAGTTTCATAATTGGACAAAAATCAGCCTAAACCGCATATTACTAGTTAGCAACCAACATTTATAAGTATACCCAAAATGAGGAGAGAGAGAGAGAGAGAGAGAGAGAGAGAGAGAGTTAGAAGATAAGATGGTGTTTAAGCATTACGAAATTAATGGTTCAGCCAAGATGAAACAATTTCATTCAAAAATCATGTTCACAACAGCCTTCTTCTCGTTAAAAAAATAAAGTCTTTTTCCGCTTTCCAATTTTAATTTCCTTCCCTTGCAGGCAGACTCATCTCAACAACAAAATCTTATCCAATCCTTTGAAACCAGCTAATAATCCAAAAATTATAGAAAGATCTTTGTTTAATGAAATTAAACTGAGATGAATGGACAATCCCTTAAATCTAAAGCCAAATTTGGAAAACAAAAAAAATTTTGACAATAATTTTGGTTATAAAAGAAGGGCAAATTAATAAAAACATTTTTTCTAGATCACATACAATCACCAAGAAGATCCTTCCCTCAAACAAATTAAGAGCATATCTAGCTTAGCTTAAAAGCTGCGAAAGAGAAGTAAGATACTGCCAAGAGAAAGACAAAAGTTTTAGCCAATTTCGCGCAAAAAGCCGAGCATGCTATAAATGAGCTCAATAGATCTATTTTTCATCAATTAAGCAAGATCCGAACCTTCCATCCCACGTCACACTTTCTGGGTTGTCTAGTTGAACCACAAAAGCTCAAATCCTTTTTTCTACAAATTGAAAATGTAAAAAAGGGAAAAATGAACAAAATGAATTCACAAACGGAGTGAATTGTCTTGCACAGAAGACAATCTATAACAAATACATACAGAAATTCGACACCCTACAGAAAAAAAGTATATCAAAAGAGTTCCAAAACAAATTCAGAATCAATAACCTCAAACAACCACCAGCAAAACTGCGACAAAAAATTAGAAACAGTAGCAAAATTCAATTCGTACTCGTAATCGAGACTCTCAATTGGGCAAACGTTGGCGCCGACAATAGCAATCTGAGATGTTGTGTTGATCCTGCTCTTTAGCAACGGCTCTCTAACGGCTCCTTCTCTATCAGAATACGCCGACATATTACTCTCTCTTCTTTCCAATAACGAAGCTCCATCATTCTCAATGTCAACTCCGTGATTCAAACTAATACTATTTTCATCCATCGATTCCTCAAAATTCTCGACCAGAACTTAAAAAAGTATTAAATTTCTCCCAAAAAAAAAAAATGACTGCTATATTCTGATCGAAAACTCGATATGTTCAGCTACTATGCGAATAAATGATGATGATATAAATAGAAATACGTACATATATACATATAATTCGCATGTATTTACATTTACAGAAGGATCGAGACAGAGAAGAATGGGGGAGTATGCAATCAATAGGGATAGTAATTGATACAGCTTTTAATTTATTGGTGATGAAGATTTGAAGGCGCCCTCTTATTTATGGACAAAAACAATCTTCCTTTCATTCATACCAGGTTTTGACTAAGGAAACTTAATTTTTGATTTAATTTGCTGTTTATAAGATATTTAATGCCACGTGGGATTTGCAAATTGGTTGGGACTGGATTTTGACCGATATTTTAGAGATAAACAATTTAATAAAATAAGGTGCGCTTGATTGTGATTATAGAATTTGTATGGTGATGAAATAAATTTTAAACAATTTAATTGCGTAGATCTTATTTCTATGGAAATTATTAATTAAATGTGTTCGATTGATTTATTTTTCAATTTAGAAATATTATACTTGTTCTTTTTTATTTGTGAGTAGATGAGAGAGAAGAAAGAGAGAGTCAATTACCTGGAAAACAAAAATCACCCCTCCCTGAAGAAAATATTTTTCTTATTTTTTAGGAAAATATAATCATGCGACCGAAAGTTGGAAAATATTTTTCAAAGAAAAAATTGTCATTAAACACTCCAAAAGTAGAAATTTTGGTGGAAAAAAAAGACATTTTTCATGTAAAATAAAGTCAGTTAAACACACTCTAATGTAAAAAGTGTCCTGATTACTTGTTTACATTGCGTAAATCGTCCTTATCATTTTAATTTTTGTATTTGAGCCTCAGATCGACAATTCTTTGCGCAAAAGATCCTATCCACCTGATTTCGTCAATTTATTCATTTAAAATTGAACATGACATGAGAAAAAAACAATCTCTTATTCTTATTTTTTATTTTTTTATTCAATTTGTTCCTTTAACTTCAGTCTTACTAGCCACATTAGATCTATTTACATAAATCCAAATAACATTATTCTTTGTTTCGACGGGATTGAAATTCCTTCATCCAGATGACCTTGTTTCTTATTCGGACATGGTTGAGATTCCACGATATAAAAGAAACTCGATTAATCAGTTGTACCGACAAATAAAACTTCATTTAGGACTTGATCAAACCCGAATTTTGCCAAGCCAAGATCTTGGGCACAAATGGCTTGATACTCATCTGCTTTCTTTCCATTCCTACGTGCAAGTTTTCCATTCGATCCGTCTTTAAACACGGACTACTGAATCTGATATCTGTACGAATCAACGAGTTAAGCGCAAAAAAGCTATCGTTATTTCGTTTAATTCATCAACTTCAGAAATTTGTTTGTGCCAGTCGTATTTAAAAAAACTTACTCTAAATTTGAAACTAAAATCTTCAACAACGATCATTAATATGAATATGTAAAAAAAAAAAAAAAAATATATATATATATGCGCGCGCGCGGGGCCAGGAGGTTCCTATTCCTTGATAAGGAAATTTCTAAGAGGACAAATTCACAAATCACAATTTCACATGACCTGGCGTAATTGGAAGAAGAAAAGTCTCTGTCTTGCTTTAAGTTGCAACTCAGAGCAGAGAATAATAATAATAATAATAACTATTGCCCATTTGATGCTGGAAAATACACGTTAAAATGATTTAATAAAAAAGGATATTTACTTGTAGGGGCATCTATCCCCTACTTCGAAGATAACCATGTCCTCTAATACAACTTTTTCAGTATTTTCTTTTGTATTATTCTCAACATTGTAGTTTTTCGTGGTTTTTTTATTAAGTCCCCGTTTTGTGGGGATTATAATGGTCGTAAATAGTAAGTTATTGGTAAATGACAATTGTACCCCTACAACTCTAGATATTATTACCATATGTATTCATATTCCTTCCCTATAAATATAGGACTTTGGTTCTCATTATAATACACACAAATCTATTGACTTCTTTCATTCTCTTATCCTTTTCTCTCTTTTCAAAACACGTTATGAGCACGAAATGTTAATTTTTCAAAGTTTAGAAAATGTAGTAATTTTTTTTTCAAACATAATCATCTATCATATGTACCAAAATTAATTTAATAACACGTAAATTTTTTTTATATACATACGTAGATTTATATACGTATGGTTAAATTAATCGTGTCTGTATGCATAAAGTATCATCACTTTTTTTTTTTGCATTAATCAATGAACTAGAGTAGCAATCATTAGGCAGATTGTATCATATCTATAGTAACGTGAAGATTGTTTTTATTTTTATTTTTTTTAAGATAATGATAGCTTTTCTCCATCTTCAATTCTGCCAATTTTCTACATATGCATTAATTCTGTCATGTAAAGAATTTCATCCCAACTTGGTTAACATGGATTCTACCACTGTTCCTATACCCAGAAGTCATGTAAAGAATTTCATCCCAAGATGGGATTATATATGTACGTATTAATGCATATGTAAATTCTGTCATGTAAAGAATTTCATCCCAACTTGGTTAACATGGATTCCAACTTGGTAAGGTGAGTTGGTCCCACTTGACCCACTAAATGTAAATGGGAGTTAATTTTGGTAATTAGATTGACAGGAGATATCAACTTTTTGGAATACGAAATCATTATTTCTATGTATAGTACTATTACTATGATTGCAGCATCTACCCATACTAACTCTAGTCTCTATCATTCATTAATTCATTAAATGGAGAGGTCAAAACCACAAATCAAATAATTTTAGGTAATAAAGATGTGAATTGACGTTAATTATGGAAGTGATTTGTCTTAAAAATCAAATCCTACTCCACACCTCTGCTTTGAAGCAACTGCTTATAAAGTCTAGAGCTTGTTTTAACTCCATTTTTTACATTAAAAGAGAGAGAGAGAGAGAGAGAGAGAGAGAGGTTTTTTTTTTTTTTTTTTCCCACATGAAGATTGGTGTTTCAGTTAGGTATATTGGCTGGTTAATTTCCAAATTGTTGACAAATTACGAGTTATGTGAGGTGAAAAAAAAATGTACCTTGTTTGATAAGTTCCAATGCAATTCTTCTCTTAAGTCTATGCATTTGGATAGCAAAATTTCACTCAACCAATTCTTGTTGTTTTGTATGGTACATTGATGACTATCTCCCATAAGAATTTCAAGTAAAACGATTTGGGAGAAGACGACTACTTCTTAGGGAGCATACTAGCGAGGGAATTCATCTTCCACAAGCACTACAACAAAAATAGCCTAACGTTGCCGTAGACCTTTTGCAACGTTTGGACGTGTGTTGCAAATCAAGGTGTTGCCGTAGAGTAGGACCCCTACGGCAACGTTTAAAAAACATTCATTTTGACAGAGCAGCACATGATAGCATCACTATGATGCCACAGTTGTTTCAAAACAGCATCACCAGCTTCCGAATCAATCTGAAGGACTTATGCTTTCTTAGTACATCAATAGGGAATAGGGAATTTTTTCTGAAACGGTATGGGGACTCTGTTAGGGTTAGCCATTTCCATTTTTTCCTTTGCACGATAGTTCAGTAAGGCCCTTGCTATTCTTATCTGCTCCTGCTCATCAATATTTTCCTGCTCCAGCGAAGAATTAGCATCTTGCCGCCCTTGCTATTCTTATCTGCTCCTTTTTTCTGAAACGGTATGGGGACTCTGTTAGGGGTAGCCATTTCCATTTTTTCCCTTGCACGATAGTTCAGAAAGGCCCTTGCTATTCTTATCTGCTCCTGCTCATCGTTATTTTCCTGCTCCAGCGAAGAATTAGCATCTTGCCGTGCCACTGACAAGTAAAAATAAAACTTCTGAGTAAAATTCCCAAACTTCAAACAAGAATTCTGCAGTAAGAACAGAGACAGCATTCCCAGGATTGAAAAGAAAAGTATCATGATGCACTACGAAAGGTTCTCTTGATGTATTCATGCTCTGAAATGTGATCGATTAACAATAAAGAAATGGCTTGATATTAGAAATGCTGGATGAAATGAACTAATTATTCAAGAGAGACACGGGAGTTGTATGAGAATTGGTGGCATTCCGAAGTTGGATGAAAACGATGATCACATCCAGTAAAGCAGCTCATTAACAAGGAGAAACACCATATAAATCTACTTGTCAAAATTTCTAAAATCTCATTCATTATATTGTTGACTCCTATCCAATACTCCAAAGATTATGCATAGGATACTGCATTAGTTAGAAGGAGAAAGTTAAGAATGCACTCACATTGTTTCAATGATAACCAAGCTGCGAGTGCAGCGTTTTTCTCAGCTTGCTTCTTGTTCTTTGCAGGTTCTCCCGTAAATGTGATTCCAGCCAGTTGAACTGTTCCTGTAAAGACAGGTAGGTGTCCTGAACCGGATTTATAAGTTGTGTACTGAGGCAAAGGAGATCCAACTCTTTGTGCAATCTCCTGTAAGAGGTTTTTATAAACTCCCGTTTCATCCTAGACATAAGATCATCCAAACACACCAAAACGACAATTTAGTATGTCACACCAATAACTTGAATTGTAAATAGGGTCATTTAATGTTAGGTATTAGCTTCACTATGAATGATCTGTAATGCGAATATAACTCATCTTTAACTTCATGACATGTTCTGCACATCACCCGTTCATTGTAAAGTGCATTGTTGTCCAATATTGTGTACCAAACATGTCTTAAGTTTCTTTCTTGGAATTATCATAATGGTTGGTTTAGAGAAGGGGGACAGGCACATGCATTGTGCACCTTGCTTTGGAGAAGCACATTAAATTGAGTGAGACAAGACTATAAATTGTACATAATTCCAAATTAATTTCCCACATGTGCCGTGAGGAAAATTACCCCAACATCTCCATTCAAAATCTCAACTCTTTTCACACTTAACTTCATCTCTTAAATAGCATTAAAAATTAGTACCAAAGTCAACAATTTCAATTATCCATCTCTATCATACACCAAAAAATAATCGGAAAATTAATTATAATCCAATTTATGCAATTTGAAAACACTCCCCCCACATGTGCCAGACTCCAAATTGCACTTACTTCATGATAATTAGGTACACACACTGCATTTTCAATGTATTCTTACTTAACACATTTATAAGTGTAAATTAATCATTAGTCAGCTAAATTCACCTAATGGGGTCTTCATCATATATCACTTCAATAGATAAATCAAATAGGAATTACTCACTTCGATTTGCAGGTCGCCTGAGAAAAATCGTGCTCTGTGTGTGTGTGTATGGGAGGGAGGGAGGCGGACTGGCGGAGACGAGAGGAGGAGGAGAAATTAGGGATTCTAATTTTATAACAAAGTTTTGACACTTTTGATAATGTATGGAAAAAAAATGAAATGTTGACCTTTCGCAACGTTCACTGGACGTTGCGAAAGGTCTCACCTTTCGCAACGTTCGATAAACGTTGCGAAAAGTGACGAAATGTCACTTTTTGCAACGTTGACTTGAAAAACGTTGCCGAAATGTCATTTTTCGCAACATTCAACCACACGAACGTTGCGATTGACCCTTTTAGCAACATTTAATCAATGAATGTTGCCTTTTAAGTGTTGCCAAAGCCTATTTTTGTTGTTGTGACGAAATGTCACTTTTTGCAACGTTGACTTGAAAAACGTTGCGAAATGTCATTTTTCGCAACATTCACCTACACGAACGTTGCAATTGAGCCTTTTAGCAACATTTAATCAATGAATGTTGCCTTTTAAGTGTTGCCAAAGCCTATTTTTGTTGTAGTGAAGCCAATTACATCATATTTACTGCAAAAAAGCCAAGATGCGGTGTGGAAATCCTCTCAATATTCCAATGGAAAGTATCTTAAAGCTTTCAGGTTTTGGTAGCAATCCCATTACAGATGCAAAGTTATATAGATCAGCAATGGGTGCTTACAATTCATGCCATTAACAGCATGAAATTTCTTGCAGTATTACAAGGCCTGTCACCTTACGCATAACTCTTTGAGAAGTTCATCAGAAAGTCATAACAAGGATTCTTAACATACTTACAAACTTACATAGGCTTACCTGATTTAGTACTTCAGGTCATAGTGTCTACATTGGCTCCAATCTTAATATCAACTAGAAGCATAATGATGCTCTAGGCATATCAGCCTCACTGGCCAGGCAGCTTTGTGTGAGCAAATTCTCCACCAGAATCTCTCCCCCGTGTTAGGTAAATTATTGTCAAACGACCTCCCCGGGCAATGACGTAAGTTTGTGTATTTTCAGTCGGCATCGACCAGATGACTGAACGATCATCGATACCACAATTTGGTAAACCAACCACATAGTCACTTGGGCCATTTGAAGCAACCTAATTTAATTAGGGTTGCTCATGGCCCAACCCAAGACATGGCTGACTCTTTAGGTTTGATAGCCCACTAAACTATTCCCTATTGGGCCCTAAACTTTGTGCCTTAGCCCTCTATAGTAACGTGAAGATTGTTTTTTTTTTTTTTTTAATAATGATAGCTTTTCTCCATCTTCAATTCTGCCAATTTTCTACATATGCATTAATTCTGTCATGTAAAGAATTTCATCCCCAACTTGGTTAACATGGATTCTACCACTGTTCCTATACCCAGAAGTCTAGCATAATTGTGTGTGTATACGTGTATGCAGAGTTGAATTTTTTTATGTTCGCATAATGAATTTTTATTTATTTTATGTCTGAAGTCAATTCTATCTTTCTCATGGAGTTTTCGTGCGTGTTTGGAATTTGTTTTCTAATTCTTCCTTTAAATAAACTTAGATGTTCACTTTTTAAATTGATAATTTATCATGTTATTACTCCTGAAGTAGCACAACATTATAATTGATATTCTCGAAAAATATTATTTGCTCTTGAAGAGCATAAATTATAATTTTCAATATACCATAACATATTAACATATTGTTTTTGAAGAAACAAAAATAAAATACAACGTGCTCCCGAAATAGCACATGTTTAGAATAACATATTATTTTAAATTAGTGTTTATCTTTGAAGTAAAACATGCAACTTATGTCATGTTGATATTGACTATTTGATATTTAATCATATTTTTAGAAATTAATTGTATTTCTTTTGCTTTATTTTGTACTTAATCAAATGACAAATATTACAAAACTTGAGTTTGCCGCACTTGACATATCTGACAAAAACAATTTGTCATCGGTACTCGATAGTCGATACTGATATCCATCTGATCTCAAAAGAGTTGGGAGAGACAATAAAAGAAGGAAACAAAGAATCTCAGCAAGATCGTGCAAAAGCACTCATCTTCCTTCGCCATTATCTTCACGATGGATTGAAAATTAAATATATCACAGAGAAAGATTCACAGGTTCTTTGGAAAAAATTAACTAAAAGATTTGATCATCAGAGGACTATAGTCCTCCCAAAACCCGTTATGAATGGATGCATCTCCGTTTGCAAGATTTCAAAACTGTTAGTGAGTACAATCCTGAATTATTCAGAATATGTTCAAAATTGACATTGTGTGGAGAAAAAAATCACCGATGAAGATATGTTGGAGAAAACCTTTTTCCACATTTCACGCTTCGAATGTGCTCCTGCAGCAGCAATGTCGTGAGCGTGGTTTCAAAAGGTACTCACAACTCATATATGCCTGTTCGTGGCCGAACAAAATAATGAACTGTTAATGAAAATCATGGGTTACGTCCAACTGGTTCGTACCATTGCCTGAAGCAAATGGTACTGAATTGTTTGAAACAAATACAATATCAAGACAAGGACAACTGGACAAGGATGTGGAAGTGGACAATGATGTGGAATAAATCATGAACGAAATAATGAACAAAATTATCATCAATAAGACAATAATTTAAAAAGGCACCAAGCAAACGAAAGTAACACATCAAAAAAGGAACATGAAGAAAGTTACTTTAGATGTGGAATGAAATGGCATTGGGTACGTACCTGTTGTACGGCAAAACACATTGTGGATCTCTACCAAAAATCAATCAAAGGAAAGGAAAAGTGGAGACAGATTTTGCTGATCATGATGATCCAATTGATGTGACTCATTTGAATGTTTCTGATTTCTTTGCTGATCTAAATAAGAATATTGACCATTTGATTGAAATTCAATTTAAATTATGTTCTTATTTTTCGCAAAATAATTGAAACCTTATTATGCATCGTTAATTTTATAATACTGAATTATGTTTACTCTTTTAAATTTAAATTCAAGTTTTTTAAAAATATATTTGTTTTTTTATAGATTCACGATGGATTGTCAAAATACTTGTTTGATTGATAGTACAACTACACATACTATTTTTCAAGACAAAACAATATTTTTTGGATTTAAAATTAGCAGAAAATAATGTTAATACGATATCAGGTGCATCGAATATCATTGAAAGCTCCGGAAGAGCTTGTATTATTTTATCAAATAATACAAAATTATATATTGACGATGCACTATATTCAAGCAAATTCAGAAGAAATTTGTTTAATTTTAAAGATATCCGTTGCAATGGATATCATATTGAGATGATGCAAGAAAATAATGTTGAATATCTTTGCATAACTTCTTGTGTATCTGGCCTGAAGTAGATAAAAGAAAAATTTTATGCACTCTCATCTGCATGTATATTATACATTTATAAAAATAGTCTAATCAAATATTATCACGAACCAGAAGTCCGTTGATCCAAAAAATGTTATACGTTGGCATGATTGACTTGGACATCTAGGATCAATAATGATGCGTCGAATAATAACTAACTCACATGGACATCCTTTAAAGAACCAGGAGATTTTTTATCTAATGATTATCTATGTGTGGCTTGTTCGCAAGACAAGTTACTCATTAGACTTTCGACTATAAAAATCAATATTAAATATCCAACTTTCTTGGAAAGGATTCATTGAGATATATGTGGGTCAATACACCCATCATGTGGATCATTTCGTTATTTTATAGTATTAATTGATTCTTCTACTTGATGGTCACATGTTTACCTACTTTCTATTAGGAATGTAGCTTTTGCTAGACTACTTGCTCAAATCATAAAATTACATGCGCAATTTCCCGATTACTCAATCAAGACTATTCGTCTTGACAATGCTGGTGAATTTAGATCACAAGCATTCAATGATTATTACATGTCATTGAGATTGTTGTTGAACATTCAGTCGCGCATGTCCATACACAAAATGATTTAGCGGAGTCATTTATTCAACGTTGACAACTTATTGCTAGACCATTACTTATGAAAACAAAACTCTAAGATTCTATTTGGGGTCATGCCATATTACATGTTGCGTCATTGGTTCGTATCAGACCAACTGCATATTATCAGTATTCACCATTGCAACTAGCATTTGGTCATGAACCAATATTTCACATCTGTAGGTTTTTGGTCGTACTGTTCAAGTCCCTATTTCACCCCTACAACGGATTAAAATGGGTCCCCAACGAAAACTTGAAATTTATGTTGGTTTTGATTCACCATCTATTATTAGATATCTCGAACCTTTAACATATGATTTATTTACTTCACGTTTTGCAGATTGTCATTTTGATTAAATGAATTTTCCAATTTTGGGAGGGGAAAAATTATATCCTGATAAACAAGGTAAATTTTTTTGGAATAAAACAATTCTGTCTCATTTTGATTCCCGCAGCAATCAATGTGAGCAATAGATGAAAAAAATCATTCATTTGTAAAGAATTGCAAATCAATTACCAGATACATTTGTTGATACAAGAAAAGTGACAAGTCATATATACCGGCAGAAAATATTCCAGCAAAAATTGATGTCACTGCATGACAATTTGCTGTAGCAAATGAATCTCAAATACGCCAGAAGCTTGGTCGATCAGTTGATTCCAAAGATTCCGTACCTCGAAAAAGAAAAGTAC